ATTTGGATTGCATAATAAAAGTAAATGAAATTGATATTAATTATCAATTTTTGCATTATCTAAGTATTCAAAAAACGAGAGAGTTCATTACAGTTTGGAAATCAATTAGTATTGAGTGGAAAAGCTTTTTGAGATTACTGGTACTGAACTTTTATTTCCTATTATCTATTTATTTGTTTTTTGAAATTATATTAAATATTTTCATTGATATATCATATGAGAACAGGATTTATATGATTCCAAATGCCTCATTGATTAGACTGTAATATATTATTATTATTATTACATAACAATACTTTTTCTTACATTTATCATTTATTGTGTTTGAATAATAGTGAAATATCAAATATTTACGATAATTGGGACATTAGTTTATTTAATCAATAAATTTTCTGTGCAATTGTTATTAAATACATTTGTACACCGGCACATTTTATTTTTAGAACAAAAAACATTTCAATCCGATACAATGCATTATTAATAATTGTAATTATCTATTAATTTAAAACTTGTAAACTGATCAAAGTAATCAAGTTTGTTTTGTAGTTGAAAGACGCAAATATGTCCCTTTATTTATCTAATTACAGTATGTAATTAGTGAACATCTAGCAAAATTCACACACTCGAGCTACATATCACTGTAAAGGGTCCACTGATTTACTGATAGCGCATTTCAAATTGTATATAAAAACACTGCAAAACAACTCTTGACTTAATAGTTATAATTATAATACAATCGTATTATTAGTATAATTACAAACGCATAGAAATAATGCAAAAACAAATACTAATCGTCATTAGTATCATCGGTTTGGTGGTCGGCCGTGACATTAACGGCGCCGGACTGGCACTCATCAAGCAACAGGAGGGCTGGAGAGCCAACTACTATTACGATCAAATCGTACGATTATTAGCAAGTTTATTTTTTTATTTAGGTAGTTCATTTTGTTACTGTTTTTTGTAGGGTCAAAAAACAATTGGCTATGGACATTGCTGCGTCTGGCACCCGTGCGATCAGCTGCACCCACCCCTAACTGAGCAACAGGGTTCCGATCTCTTGAGAGCTGATCTTGGTGAGTTCCAGAATTGTATCCAAAATGCCGCCCCTGGACTTAATGACAACCAGTTTGCTGCCGTAAGTACTCAAATACTTAAATTAACTAAAATATTTTCAATAAAAGGAAAGGTAGATTTATATAATCCATGTAAACATACGATCCACACAAGATACTACTCAAAATCATAATAATGTTACATATTTAAGCTAGTTAAATAGTTTTTAAAATGAATTTAAAAGTTTAAAGCAATTTGAGACATACTTATTATATTACTATAGTATTACTATTACTATACTATTACTAGTAAAGCATGCAATATAATGCGTTAAACTAATACATGTTATGGAACTTTGCTTTTGGCTACCAGTGCACGTCATTTGCCTTTAACATGGGCTGCGGTGCGTTCACGGGGTCACACATATTGTCCAACATTAGGGCCAAGAACTTCAACGCCGCCGCCAATGCCTTCAATGAGTACACTTCGATGGGCGGCCGTGTGATCGCCGGTCTCGTCAACCGTAGGAAAGCCGAGGCACAGCTGTTCCGATCGTAGATACCTGTCCACCAACAGTGTCTCACACG